TTCAGGGGCGTTGGCACGGCGGACCAGCCCATCAAGCTGGTCGGATCGGACGCGGTGACTCTCACCGGCAAGTCGACCCTCAAGATGAGCGGCTCGTGGCTCGTGGCGACCAAGCTGCGGTTCGTTGGCGGCGCGCTCCCCAGCAAGTCCGATGACGTGGTCGAGTTTCAAGTGGACTCGGACGAGCCCTGCAGCGACTGCACCCTCAGTCACTCGCTGATCCAGGACTACAACCCCTCCGATCTGACCATCGACTACAAGTGGGTCTCGCTCTACGGCCAGCGCAACAAGCTCTACAACACCACGCTCCAGGGCAAGGCCAACTTGGGCGCCGTGGTGGTGGTGTGGAAGCGGACACCCACGGGGGTCACCGCGGTCGACGAGGATCGCCACAGCATCTCCTTCAACCGGTTCATCAGACGCAACCAGGTGGCGGGCAACAACAACGATCAGGAGGCGATCCGCATCGGCACGTCGACGACCAAGGGCGAATCGAACACGATCGTCTACTCCAACTACTTCGAGGACATGAACGGCGAGATCGAGGTCATCTCTTCGAAGAGCCACGGCAACAAGTTCTACAACAACACATTCGTGCGGTGCAAGGGAGGCCTCACCCTTCGCCACGCCGAACGCAATTCCGTCTTCAACAACAAGTTCTATGGCCAGGTAACGTTCTTGTTCTAAGTTGTTCTTCCTTTTCTTCGCTTTTCGTTCTTTGTTCCCTCTCTTCGTTCTTTGCTGACGCCAAGGCGGTGCAGAATGTGTGGGAAACGTCTGGCGTGAGGCTCGCGTGGGGCGACAAGCACACGATCTACAACAACTACTTCGAGGCCATCAACCCGGGCTCGAGCCCTTTGCGCGGCGCCGTGGTGTTCATGAACGGCGAGGAGGAAGTGGCCTCAGACGGCTACAAGCCGGTCACCAACGCGCTGGTGGCCTTTAACACGATGAAGAACTGCCTCGCCAACATCGTCTTCGCCCCCGACGGCAACGAGGTGCCGGCCAACG